CAGGCCAAACCATATCGGGCGTTACGCCGCTCTCGATCCCATTCCATAACAACCGGGGGGGGGGGGAGAGGCCTGCAGCCCGTTACGCACGGCCAGGAAGAGGCCGGAGCGGGTGCCTGCTCACAGGAGGGGCGGTGTGAAGAGACGCCGTTCACAGCTCGGCCAGGAAGAGGTGGAGCCGCGGCGCCTGCTCACAGGAGGGGCGGTGTGAAGAGACGCCGTTCACGGCGCTGCGCAGAGGCGGGCAGGCGAAGGCTGCCGGCAGTGGCCAGCTGCAGGTTGCCCACAATCAGCGCCACCGACACCAAGGGCAGGAGGCCGGGCGCATGGGGCGCGGTGAGGTCCCTCTGCCAGCCTACGTTGTGATTCAGATGTGTATCAACTCATTAACTAAGTAATTAATTAACGGGTGAGGTCCCTCTGCCAGCCTCGTTGTGACTCAAATGTGTATCAAATGTGTCTCAATCAGTTAATTCATTAGTGAACTAATTTGAGGTCCACCTGCGCACACGACAGACATCGCGGCGGAACATGGTGGCGAGAAGGTATATTCAGAGCACCGCGTGAGTACGAGGGGCTGCGAATACAGTGAATACGGCCGAATACGGCCGAAGACGGTCGAATGCAGCCGAATACGGTCGAACGCAGCGGAGTATGTGTCCTCTCGAGCGGTCGTTGGAATAGGAGAGCCCGTTTTCAGCTTCTGGGGCGTGTGCCCGGGCCTCCGGCGCGCATTTGCTCGGTGAGGGGCGAGCCTACCGCGCAACAAGGCGGGCCTTCTCCCCGAACACAGCGGGTGTACGGCGGAGAGCGTGTCCTCTCGCGCGCTAGCCGGAAGATAGAGGTTTGCGGCGGTCTTTCTTGTTCTTCTAGCGGGGCGACGCCGGCGTCGACCATCCGTCGTATGCCCACCAGCGACCAGATGAGCAGTGGGATCTGCACCAGCGGCACGGCCACGATCGCGAGCGGCTGGACGGACGCCGCGCGGCAGCAGCGCCACCCGCGCAGCAACGTCTGCGCCGCGCGCGCAGACGGAGGCTCGATGGCACGGCACTCGTCGCGAATCGCCGCCAGCTGCGGCCGGAGGGCGCCGAAGCGGCGCGTCTCCGCCAGCTGGTACCACAGCAGCGGGAGCATCCCGACGCGGAGCGCCACTGTCGTGCCGCCGATCGCAAGCCACCACGGAGCGCCGGTCGCGGCCTGCGCCGCGACGACCACCTGGGCAGGGATGCCGAGCGCAGCAACCTCCGTCGCGCCGCTCAGCGACCGGGAGCGCCCGGCAGCTCGGGCGCGGGCGCCGCCGCAGCGGAGGAGGCGCGCTGCTGCGCTCGTGCGTGCGAACATGAACCTTCGCGTAAAAAGAATTTTGAGCCGGGACACGATTAAACGACAGGAAGCTCCAGAGACACATAAACTGGCAGAAAGAAGACTACGAGCTGTTTGTGGGACACGGATACGGGGCGAGCGCGATCAGAGTAGGGGAGCTACAGGAGGAGGTAAGGTAAGGTAAATTTCTCCACACACACAAAGTGGTGGGGCAAGGGGGGGCGACCCTCGCATCTCCACACCCGGTCACGGGCAGGAGCCCCACGGCATTCAAAGTGCAAGCACTGGCCCGGTGCACGTGGGTGAGCAGCCTGCCCCTCCCTCCCGACACAAACCAACTCCCGCACACACAATCGCACTCTGGCCATCGAATGACTCCGAATGACTCACTGTGTGTGCTAAGACAGAATCTCCGCAGACATCCAAAACGGGCCGTGCCGCGTTCGTGGTGTCTTCTCAAGCACTTTAACTAGCATCCGGGCGCCGCACTCGAGTGGGCGGGTCACATCTATGTGGGCCCAGTGTGCGCACTCGGCGCATATGCTAGTGCTATCCTCGAGGAGCAGTTTGGCAACGCGACCGAGCTGATCTACGCCAGCCTTGGCTGGGGCGACGCGGAGGCGGCGCAGCTGGCGGAGGTTCTCGCGAGCGGTGCAGCGTCGCGGCTCGAGGAGCTCTGTCTCTTCGAAAACAAGATTGGCGACGAGGGCTGCAAGGCGCTGGCCGCCGCCCTGCTCGGCAAGGAGGGGGCAGCGCCGCGGCTCGAGACGCTCATTCTCACTGACAACCAGATTGGCGACGAGGGCTGCAAGGCGCTGGCCGCCGCCCTCAAGGATGGCGCAGCGCCGCGGCTCGAGGCGCTCGAGCTCTCCAGCAACGAGATTGGCGACGAGGGCTGCAAGGCGCTGGCCGCCGCCCTCGGCAAGGAGGGGGCAGCGCCGCAACTCGAGACGCTCAATCTCTCTAGCAACGAGATTGGCAACGAGGGCTGCAAGGCGCTGGCCGCCGCCCTCAAGGAGGGGGGCGCGCCGAGCTTGAAGGCGCGAGACGCCCCATCGACTCGCCACGCCCCTCCCATGCGCCCATACTCAGTACTTCCGTTGCGCGTGCAGGAGCTTATTACGGACAAAAGAAAGCCGCGCCACCTGAAGGTCACTTGCAAGGAGCGCGGGATTAAGCTGTGCAAGTATTCTGCCTTGATGCAGAAGAAGTTCAGAGACAAGTTCGACTATGATTCACCTTCCTATCATGGTTGAAGCCTTCACCTTCGTCTGCTGCTGTAATGTGACGTCGCTTCGCTGTTGCTTTGGTGTTGGCTGTTTGCACACTCCACACACTCCAAGAGTGTTGCGGACGGCGGCCCACTCGCGCCGTCTCTCTCCCGTCGCGAGCTCTGCCTCGCCGCGTCGTCGCCGGCGGCGCTACTAGCGCCGCCCGCAACAAGCTGCTTCGGCGCGCCGTGCGGCGCGTTTGCTGGTCGGGCGGCAGTAGCGCAAGCACGGAGCTTCCGCGCCCCGTAGTGTACCCTGTACCTGTGTTAGTGCCAGTGCGCGCCAGTGTCCCGTGCCCAGTGTTGAGCGAGGTTTTCGTAAAATTCTTTTTGTCGCTAAAGGCCTCGCACCAGCCGCAGCCCCAACAAATAGAGAGCCATTTCTGGGTGCGCTTTTTTTTAGAGCGCCTTCTCGTTGTTAACTCTGGTTCTTCGACTTTACATGTTGGACTACCCGAGACGGGACAGGGGTGGGAAATAAATAAATAAAACGGACACCTCTACTAGGAGATGGGTAAAAAGGAACAGGTCCCCGCCCTGCGGTCTTTGTGCAGGGTTCTTTGTGGGTGTGGTCGGCGACTAGCCGGGGTCGTGGGAGCTGGGACGGGCCAGATAATATAAAAGAGGCCGTGCGCCGAACGCCGACGCTTTCGCGGGGCGCGCCGTCGCCGAAGATTTTCAGCTGCACGCGCGTGGCAACCTCATGTCTGAAATGCCGCGCTGGATCCTGCTCTTCGGCGCGATCATCCACGGCTGCAGCGCCACCTGCGGCCACACCACGTGGGCGTCGACCTAAGGAATAAGGTGAGGTAAGGTAAAACTTCTCCACACACACACGCAGTGGTGGGGCAGTGCTGGCCACTCGACCTTTCCCGCGCCTATGAGCTGCGCGACGCGCACGTCGTGCGCGATGTCAACAGGCCGCTTCGAGTGCCGCCTAGGATGATGCGCGGCTCTCAGGGTGATGAGAGCACACAGGTCGGTGGGTGGCGGGTGTGGGGCTTCTCTGCTCTGCGCGGGCGAGGAAGCAGCGAGGCAGAGCCCCGTCTGAACCACACGTGTCCCTCCATTCACACTCTCCCAGTCCTCCCTGGTCTAGTGCCCGTGTTCTCCGCCCGCCGTGCAAGCCCCACCCGTCTAGAGCAGAGCCCCGTCAGAGTGCCCGCGCGCTGCGAGACGCGCACCTGCCCACGAGGACGGTCTGTCATGGAAGTGTAGCCGCGGAAGTTAGAGGTGTCGTGGTGGGAGTGTCGTGGAAGTGTCGCCTCTTCGGCGCGACGCCAGCAGTCTCCCAGCCCGGCCGCGCGGTGCGGAGAATCGCTTCAGCGTAGCTGCGAGGCCATTCCGCGAGCAGGCCGTGCAGCCGCGACGCGCCGAACGCGCTCGCAATGTAGGCGTGCGTGCACATTGGAGAACCTACACGTGGTGCGCGTCGGCCTCTCCGCTGTGCGCGGGGCCGGCTGCGCCACCGTTGGGCCCGACATCACGCGCCGCCCCGGCAGAGGCACCGTGCCCTGCCCTCTTCACCTCGCTGGGGGGAAGGGATGCGCGTGCAATTTCGGACGCGAGTGCCGCCGCAGTGTCCCAGAAAGAGCAGTGTCCACGAGGGACTGGACGACCGTAGATGGCGCAGCGCGGCCGTGGTGCCAGCGCAGAAGCTCGGCTGGAGAGAGGCATCATCTTCGATGAAGATCGCCGTTGCGTTGCTGGCAGCGACCGAAGCGAGGAACCGTAAATTGGTGGCCCAGATGCCGAGCATTTTGTGCGCCTGCTTGAGCGCTTTGGGCACGAGGGTGGCATTGAGCGAGTGCAGGACACCGGCTGGCACGTACTGCCACAGCTCCGCCGGTCCAACGGCCCGCTCGACGACCAGCGAGCGGAGGCCGTGCTGCTCCGCTAGCAAGCGCCAGTGTTCCCGCCGTCCACCCGGATCTAGGGTCTGGGCGCGCGCTGGGATGGCGAGCTGGCAAGCTTTCGGCGGCGGCGGCGGCGGTGGCCAGCAGCCCGTGAGAAGAATGCCCTCGCACACGTCCTTCTCCAGACCCGACGGCGCCACACATAGCCGCCACTTGTCTTTGTCGGGGTCGATATGAGGCCCATTATGGTAGTAGAAGCTGCTGCAGTTGTTTTCCGGATAGCGGACGTCTTTGCAGGCGCCCTCGGTGAGTTCACTGCGGCCGGCGAGTTCACTGCACGACGGCGGCGGCGGCGGCGGCGGCGGCGGCGGCGGCAGTGTTTGGCTCTTCGCGGATAAATCCGCGCTGATGAGGGCTGAAGCCATCGCGTCGGTATCAGATCGCCAGCTCGCGGGAGCCCTATCACGCCATACTAGCTTTTCTTGATATATTTTCTTTTTATTTCCGCCCTTCCTTGCAGCAGCCCCCTCCAACCCACCCGCGCTAGGTCCTAGGTGACGTAGGGGAAACCCGGCGAGCCTGGGGAACTAGCCGGGGCAGTCGGAGAAGGGGCAACTCCGTGCACTGACGGTCGGCCGTCAGAAACCACGCCTGCGTGGATCGCGTCACACACACACACACACACACACACACACACACACACACACTCACTCACACACACGACCTCCTACCCAACCGGCAAGGATATCCACCTCGGAACCTTACACGGCGCCTCTGTGTGTGCACGCTAAAAAAAAGGTAAAGAGCGCGCAAAGATGCTGTGGCATGCTGTGGCGATGATGCCAGGCATTCCGTGGTTGACCGTCCAAAACAAGCCCAGCTTCTTCATGAAGGAGCAGCTCGACCCGCTGAGCGAGGCCGACGCGCCCGTAGTTGCCGCGCACTACACGGGCCTCGTGGAAAAGTACCGTATCGAGCTCGATACGCAGAGGCAGCAGGCACAGCAGTTTATCCAGGTGCAAGCGGCGCAAAAGGCGAAGAGTGGGCTGGTCTGCAAGGGGCAGATAGGGGCCGTGGAGGCGGCGATGCTGTACATCATGATCCGAGAGCACAAGCCCGCCGAGACGATCGAGATCGGCGCCCTCTGCGGCTCGTCGACGAGATGGATCCTTGCCGCGCTCGAGCGCAACGGCCACGGCCACCTGACCACGTACGACCTTCACGACTACACACCGAGCTTCGTGAATCGCTCGTTCGCGCCGTCGGTCCTCAAGCACCGATGGTCGTTCGTTCAGGGTGACGCAATCGCCGCGCTTGATAAGGACGATGTACCATTCGACGCCGAGCTGCTCTTCATTGACGCCCTCCACCGCAACTCGTTCGCTCAGCTCTACACCGACCGGCTGCTCCGCAAGGCGGCGGCGGCGATCTCGCACCCTCTCCCCGTCTTTGTCCACGACATCTTCTCGCCGTTCATGATACCAGCCTTCAAGCACTGTCAAACCGACATGTCGCTCGCCACTCTCCGGACGGAGGTCGACTGCATCCGCCGAGCGGCCAAGGCCACAAGCGGCAACCGGCTCGACCTCCTCTACTCGGAGAAGCAACCGGGCGGCGAAGGCATAGAGCTCATGGCGTGGCTTGCTCGCACTGCTCGATCTAAGGCGTTCGTCACGTTCTCCATGTACGCTGCGCCGGCCGTCTCGAGGTCCATCGCACGTGCGCTGCACCGCCCGGACGACGCTGCGAACAATAACCCGGCCATCTTCTTCCTCATAAAGCCAGACAAGCACTAGAAGCCGCGGGGGCGGGGGAGCGCGTGAAATTTGCGCTGGTTGTCACGCCCTCGCCTCGCCCCGCGCCCCCGCGCGATGCGGCGCGTGTTGGCCTTTGCGCGAGCATGCCCGGCCGCCTCGCCCCGCACCCCATGCTCTGCAGCGGCGCGCGCGCGTGCCTGGCTGCCCGCCGTGCTGCGAACGCCTCGCGCGCGGCTCGTTCCGAGGCTCGAGCGACACAAGTCTGGCGCACACCCGGGTCGCGGGCACAGTGAACCTGGTTTGTGGAGCTCCCACAGGTCACCTAGAGAGGACGTAATTCGGGGTTCCCCACCGGCCTTTTTCGTAGTGGAGAGATCAAGGAACTTTTCTGCTGTTCACCGACACCGACATCGCTCTCCTCTTTCATGAGACGAGATCGACGGCCGACGACGCGGACCGCGCGGGGCTCGCGCCTCGCGGTCGCGCTCGGCAGTCGCGACTAGTTGCAAATACGGGTCTCGGGTGGGTTGTGGAAATGATGACTTTTGATGTTCTTTTGTCCGTGTCGCTCCCAGCGCCCTCGCCCGCGCTCTCTGAGGCCATGGCTGGTGCTACTGGTATGGGGGGTTACCTGGCTACCGCGAGTGTGGTGACCTACGTTCGGGGCCAAAGGTGCTACACACACTTGACTAGAGCTGGCATTTTTGGGAGCTGAGCAATGTTGCTAGTGTTAACAGAACAACAGAACAACAGAACAACAGTAAAACCCAGGTATTTTCGGGTTTTACCCGGGGGGTTGGCATTTCCTGCTTGCTGACCGCTGAACAACAACAAAACAGTAACACACAGTTATCAGTAAGGAAACAGTTTGGGCTGGGGGAGAACACTTGAACAACGTTTTGAGGATTTCAACCAACAAGTCCAACTGTTAGCCCGCGTTAACTTTGGTAACGGCTGTTGCGGCTGGTCGGGCGGCAGTAGCGCGAGCACGGAGCTTCGGCGCCGAAGTCGACGCTGCGCCCTCTGGCGCTGCTGACAAGTTCGCCGGCCGTTGCCGAGGCGATAGGCCGAATCACTTTGGGCCCCGACCCCGCCCCCACCCCTTGGGGTGGGGGCACCCGCCCCTGTCGCGTGTCGGGCGCCGCTTACGGCGCCTGGCAGGGGCGCCCCCTGGGTGGGGGCCGGCGATTCCCATGCCGGCTCTCCGCCACAACCCCCGCCGGGAGGGAATCCCTGCTCACAGAAAAGGGCTTTGAGCCCTGTCTCGCGCACGCCCCTGGCGGGCGCCGCGGACCAGTTCCGCGAGCGCTCGTCAGCGGGTGGTGTGCGGTTCTTGCCGTAGTTCCTCTTCGGTCGCCTAGCCCCGGCGCCGTCTGTCGGACGCCTGCGTGTCACGAGTGCGAGCCGCTCGCGGTTCGTACGCCCGCTTGCGGGTTCGAGTGGCGGGCTATCCCGCTTGCGGGATGGCTTAGCGGGTTCGAGCCGTCACACATTGGCTGCCGGGGTGTGCCGAGGGGGGGCTGGGTGGGCGGTAAGCCGTCATTGCCCGGCGCTGCTTGCCAGCGCTCTGGGTGGTAGTGGCGGCGCTCCAAGAGTGGTGCTCTTGGGAAGAGGTTCCTCCTTTCCGCTCCCCCCCCCGCAAGGCGCGAGACACACATCGGCTTCTTACACCGCCCTTCCTTACAGCGAGCGCCCCCCTCCAACCCACCCGCGCTAGGTCTCGGGTTTGACGCATGGGGTCACTCCCGCAAAACACGTGTACTAGCCGGGGCAGTCGGAGAAGGGGCAACTCCGCGCACTGACGGTCGGCCGCCAGAAAACACGCCTGCGTGGATCGCATCTCACCATTCCTCGCTACCCAACGCGGCCAAAGGATATCCACCTCGAGAACCTCGAGAACCGCGAATTGGTGGTGGAGAAGAGAAAAGAATTTTCAACACGACTCGCGGCGAACTGGCACTAACACAGAGAAAAGAAAAACCCACTCATGGCGTGATAGGGCTCTCCTCATAGCATGACGTGTGAACGGCGTCTCTTCACACCTCGAGCCGTCAACGCCGTCAAGCTACCTGCCTACCTGCCGAACCCGCGCGCGAGCTGGCGATCTGATACCGACGCGATGGCTTCAGCCCTCATCAGCGCGGCTTTATCCGCGAAGAGCCAAACACTGCCGCCGCCGCCGCCGCCGCCGCCGCCGCCGCCGTCGTGCAGTGAACTCGCCGGCCGCAGTGAACTCACCGAGGGCGCCTGCAAAGACGTCCGCTATCCGGAAAACAACTGCAGCAGGTTCTACTACTATAATGGGCGGCGGTGGGCCGACCCCGACAAAGACAGGTGGCGGCTATGTGTGGCGCCGTCGGGTCTGGAGAAGGGCGTGTGCAAGGGCATTCTTCTCACGGGCTGCTGGTCACCGCCACCGCCCTCGCCGCCACCGCTGCCTCCGCCGCCGCCTCCCCCCCTTCCGCCGCCGGCGTCGCCGCCATACAAGTGGACAGAGTTTGCTATGCCCAAAGGGCGGCGCGGCCACTGCGTCATCGCAGCGCCCTCCGGCGCCCTCGCCTCCC